AATAAAAAAATTTTTATCAAGTTTGGTTTAATAATTGTTGAGATATTTTAGTTCAAAGTTGAAAAAAAATTTACTTAAAAACAAATTGCTTGGTTTCCACTAACACCCCCCATATGTTTATATCTTAATATTTCATATATAAAGCTTTATCAACAATAGTATTCAAAGAAATTTACAAATATTTTAGAACTTCTAGATCTTGAATTTTCAATCTGCTTTCAATGTAGTTTTGATTTAAGTGATTATCAGGAAGAGTTGAGTATAAAGTTTTTTTTAATAATAAATTTTTAAATTTTGAACTATTTTATATATCTACTATATAAGTACAAAATAATGTATATATATATTAATTAATTAATTTGTATATTATTTTGAGTATGCATATGTATGTTATTTGAAATATAAATTAAATAATCAACCTTTAATAATAATTACTGTTAAGAAAAAAATAAAAAATGCATCAAAACTAGATTTGATGTATAGTTAGAATTATCTCAGCATAAAGAACAACTTTATTAGAGTACAAAAAGAGATACTTATTTTATTTTTTTACAAAAGAATGTGCTTTAATTCAGAATACATATAGGTGTTAATTCAAGGTTGTATTTGCTTTTTTGAAAGTTCCAATTTTTAAAATAACACCTATGATGTTATTTTATGCTTATACAATATTTGGTTAATATTATATAAACTCAAATTTGAGTTGTATTAAAGATCTTTAAGGTCTTATTAGAGCTCAGGTGCAATCTATCTAGCAGAATTTAGCTTTATATTAGATTCTTAACTCACAAAGCAATTTGGTTTCTCTAATTATAAGCTATAGCAACTACCCACTTCATCAAGAAGCCAAACAAAAGAAATCACAAAAACAGAAAAAAAAGAAAAAAACAGACATAGAGGATCACAATAAAACATATAAACAAAAAAGAAAAGGCAAGAAAGTATTGAAAACCAAAGAAAAAAGAAATTTATCTATCCTAATATCATATTTATGAGCCTGAAATTTATATTTTATATTTTATATTATATGCTATATCTGATTTGACGTATTAAACAAAAATATTGTGTTTATTAGTCAAATTAACTAACACATTAAAAAACTCTAATGATTTTAAAAGTAAAAATTTTAGCTTTAAGCTTTAAATATACTGTATATAGGGTTATGCATACCCACACGTGTCTCGTGCCCGGCATTTTCACTCCTGGCACTTTGTGCCCGTAACTATTCTCACTTCGTGCAGGCGCGAATTAACTGACATAAAAATGGTCCGAATTTACATAGAAACAAACTTTACATCTTTGTGGGCACGGCAAAAGTACTAAAATTGCCTGGTGTTTTTGTGCCTATGAGCATTGGCACGAGGCACTGGCGTCCGGTATGGTGCCTATGTGCTAGCAGACCTCTAGCTATATATTCATTAATATTTCATAAACCCCTAACATAAATTTGAGCGGTTGTCATATATAAAACGTTAAGAAATATTTGATAAACTTAACAGCAAAACTTGTGGCGCGATAATACATAACAATATTTGTTTGCTAAATTGAATACAATATTTACAATACGTCATTTTTGGTAACTGTGTTAATAAAATAAGCACTACCGCTACATATGAATACTCTAATATTACGTAATCGGTTTGTGGAATCAACTTTAAGAAAACCACAAATAGTCCTTGATTATACATACATTTAATTTGAAAGCACCTAACAAATCACTTTTTACAACTTAGTACATTTGGATCTGTGAATAATCTAAATAATAAATATGTAAAAGTACCGAAAAATCTAAATCCAGCCAATCCAGCAACAGACCAAAGAATAACACCCATATAAATATCTATTACTGATTTCTGAGAATAACCAAGATTTGAAATGAGAGTCACTAATATAATATTACTAAAAACCCATGACAGAACAACCTTCGTTCGAAATGATTTTCGAGCATCTTCTCTTTTTTGTTGTGGTGTAGCAATTGTTACATCCTTACTAGGCTTTCGTCTTACTTCTTGAACTGCTTGCTGATACACGTCATTAACATCTTCAGGAACAGAAACCTCAACTGTGGGTACTCCGGAGGTAGATTCAACGTCAGTAGCCTTCTCTTTCAACTTTTTTGCTGTTTCGGGCCTATTCCCCCAACTATAAATAGCATAAAATGGGAATTAGTATAATAAATATTCTTAAAAAATTCAACGGTCTTAATTTATATTACCTGACATCATGAATATTACAAAAAGCATAAATATTTAGTATAATAACATAAAATGGTAATAATATTATATATTGTAAAGTACATGTAAGCATATGCCATGGATCAAACATCATAAGACTTGCGATCAGGTATAGGCCAAATGTAGAAACCAATGAAAGAATAATATTGAAAAAAGTAGTATTACTAAGAACAGAATTGGCAGTAGCAGTAGTCTTTAAATCTGCATTGGGACCCAATGAAGCTACCCCAACATCAATACCCTTAATTGTAAGCCAGAAGGCAGCAAATAACATATATACCATAATTAAACCAAAGAATATTATTGAAATCATATAGGCCTTATTAGAACTATTAAGTATAATAATTTTTTTTTTAAAAAAAAAAAAAATTAGATCAAAACGTAAAAATTGAAAAAAATAAAAATTATAAAATTTACCCTTGAGGTCTGTGTCCTAATGCAAAGACGAATTGTACTATTATCAGTATAAGGTAAATATATTGCAAGACTATGAATATGCCATTTCCGACTTTTGGATCCCAAGGAGCATCGCGAGTAGAGAGAGCCTGACCCAAAATGTGAAAGGTCATATAAAAATTTCCCTACAAAAAAAATAGGTTAATATTAAATAAATAAAAATAAATAAAAAAATAAATAAATAAACAATATTTACTATTGCAAACCATGCAAAGATAAGATTATATGCTTGATATGCCATTTCGATGTATAAAAAAATTTTACGGCCTATAGAATGATCACTTCTCGAAATATAATAAAAATGGCTAATAGCATGAAAGCTAGCAAAAAAGGATCCATTTAACCAACGTCGTCTCTGTCTAATTAGTCCAGTGACATCTTCAGGTACATCCGTTTCGGCTTGAGAAGATTTAACATAATGCAATAACCAGGAACAATTGCGTTTTGAGACCAACTCAAAACAAAGGATACGATCTTCAGCAAGATACATATTAGCAGTGAACATGTTTTCCTTTTTTTTATCCTCATTTTTTTTATCATTGATTTCACCCTTAAAATAAGATGCTAGAGGGCCTTCTTCCTCGTTTTTGTCATTAGTAGTACTCCGGAGAGCAATGTACCGATAGGCAGAAAAAGCCCCAGGTAAAACAGTAATATACCCAAATACAGATTCAAATGGTTTATCCAGGATGTTGGACATCTTATATTCAAAATTTTGGGCTGCCACAATTGGATTCAATAGTTTCTTCCAACCTTTACCTTTCATGGTAACTATTTCACCGCAAGCACCTGCAACACTTGCATTTACATCAAACGCCTTCCACAAACGATAGATGGATCTAGGACCTTAGAGGGGAAATATTAAATATTGTAAAATAGATTATTGATCTATAAAAGCATTAAAAGAATAGTTTCTCGAAACATTTATAAGGCAATTACAGCATATTAATTTCTAACCTGGTTCAGTACCAACATCAATAAGAACACATATGTTAGGGTTAAGAATTGGCCCAAAAGCATTAAAGAACCATCGATGAGAGTTGATCTTTTTAGCATTTTCCTCTTTAAGACAAAAAAGCACTTGGACTGGAACAACATCAGGGTCCTCATCGAAAGTTTTAAATTTCATAGTATCGTCAATTGAAATCTGAGTAGTATACTCAAATATATGAGCATTAACGGATTCATCTTTTACTTTGCCTACTACAACGCCATCTTGGTAGACACCAAGAGCCATTAAGTAAGCTAAAGAACTTTGCTCTATATGTTCACGACCATCAGCAACTATGCATACGACGACTTTCTTCCATCCCTCTTCACCCTTAAAAAAATTTTTTTTGAATATAATATATAAAATTCACAAGATTTAAAAGTAACTGTAATGATAAAGACTCGTTTATATACCCAAACTCTAGACTTTTTACGACTGCAAAGGTGAGCAATATTTTTTACAACTCCGTGAAAAGTGCGGGCTAACAGGCCTTTATCTTCCTAATACCACAATATATGTATACATTTTGCACTATCGTTATTAAAAAATAATAATAATAATAATAATGATTAAAATTTCCTACATTATACATAGTTAACACGATAAATAGTTCGGTATGTCTTGGAGGAGCAGCTTCTACTTGACGAAGACTAAATCCTTTCTGATTAAAATCGTCAGGACCACTTGTACATGCGGTATATCTCATATGAGTAAATTCCCTTGATTCATTCCTAGGAATACTCCCGAACAGATCAGTAGGTATGGGACATTCCAACACCAAATGTTTTCCATCCTTTAATACAACACGCTGTTTATTGATACGACGAGCCTGTATTCTAGGAGGTTCATCCCAATGCTGTTTAGATTTTTCAGGTTCTATATTAAGTACAGAATTATCATTGCTATCAAAATTTTTATTTGGTGGAGGAGGAGGAAGCTGTTTTTCTTGTATAGGTGGTTCCTGGGTACTTTGAATATAACTTTGTTGCCCGGGAGAAAGGGGATTACCACCTTCTGGTATGTATATACTTTGATGATTTTGCATAGAAATAACCCACTATGAAAAATATATACAATTACGCATAAACAAGTATTCGCTATTAATTGAGATTATTTATCTGTTAGCTTGTTTTTATCCTTTTTTTAAAAAAAAATTTCTTAATTCCGATACTGAACAATCCGGGAGAATTCAATGAAAGAATTCCGAGATGTTACAAATATACCAAAAAAAAAAAAATTTACTTTATACTAAATCAGCTGTTCATTTCAAATTTAAATTTGTACAGGTATTTATAGTACTAGCAGAAAATTTTACGTACGTACACGTATGTAACTATATTACCTAATAAAGGATCGATATAATTAGTAAAATTTACTTTAATAATATTCATAATTGAAAATAAAATACTTGACACATCACACAAAAGCACATACTGAGAGAATATTCTTAAGGAGTTTGTGATTCAGCAAGACAATCTAACGGAATGTTATGGCTTTAGACAATGTGGGGTCATTGTAAATAGATTATCTATCAATATTCGAACTCTATTATGACGAGATTTATTATTCTTAATATAATTCATCTACAATATTTTTTTTCGCTTTTTCCCTGAAAAAAACTTCAGCACAATACTATACGTTTTGACAGTTCCAAGTATTTGATTTGTCCTAACTTTTTGTCCTAACTTTTTGTCCTAACTTTTATTTAACCCATAAAAGTAATTTAATCATTTGGTGTGATTTCCTGGGCAAATTAGAATTCTGGAGGTCATAAGACTTTGAATTCGGAACCAAATATATAAAACCAAATAATGATAAATTATGACTAATCATAATTAGACCCGGAGCTGGAAAAACTAAATTGTTACTTAAAACAGATTTTTCGAAAACAGGATTGAATAGCGTTTACAGAAAGATTTATAACATTAAAGACAAAATTTGTTTTTTAATTTGTTCTTGAATTGATACCAAGTAAATAAGAGGATCAGCTCTCGTAGAATAAATACTAAGATGCAGTGTTGTTATTGGACAT